AACAAAACTTAATGTGAGGTTTTTGGGACATTTTGAAAGTTAAGGGGGTTATCTCAGTAACGCCCACACTTAGGGGGGCTTCACAAACCCCCTTTAAGTTAGAATGAAAGTGAGAAGCAACACCACTATTTTATTTCTTTCTTTTTTTTTATGTGTGTGTTTTTTCCCTGGTGTTTTTTTTTTCTTTTTTTTTTTTTTTGGGGGGGGGGGGGGTATCGTTCTTGACAAACTTAGGGGATGTATTGTGACATTTTAAGAGTTAGGGAGTTTATATGATAAATGCCTAAATTTAAGAGAGGGTTTTGTGACATTTACACTTAATTATGTTCCAATGAATATCAAGCTGTGCTAGCTTCATAATCAGAGTCCTTACAAAAGCTGACATCCCCTCGTATCTGATATTTCATTGCTTTGACTACACCAGGACCTTCTTCCAGTCTGACGAGGGATTTGTGTTCTCAAGATTGTCTCAGAAGGTTGTGTACTTTACCAACTGCCGTGCATCAATTTGGACCAGAGTACTGAGTCTTCTTACACATTCCACATTTGTTTCAATTTCTACCATAAATATTATTATGAAATCCTTTTTACAGTGGAAATATCTCATGGAAATTCCTCAGACCAAAGTAGAACATTTCTAGAATTTTTCAGAAAATTCAGGTAAAACATTTCCTAATGTCCCTGGGTATGTACTGAAGATGCAGGGAAATTGGGGTGCACTTTAGAGATCCCGTTAAACTTTTCTGATATTTAATGTGAAATACCAGGTGACCTATGCATGCATTTCTTATGTCAAATATTTTCAATATGGTTTATTTTGAATATTCCACAATTTAATTTTTTTTAACAAGTTATATCTCCATACTTGTTTTCCTGATGACTAAAGCGGGCAAGATGATCTTTTCTTGTTTTATAGTAATTACTATTCTCTCATCAAGATAGTGTTTCAAAGACAAATTCAACTGCAGAATAGTTTATTTATTACTATTTTTCTTCTTCCAACAGGTATTTGAAGAGGTGAGAAAGGAGCACTGGTATAAGCCTCAATTGTCAGTATATGTTGATATGATAACTGTGTTGGCAAATAATGGTTTAAAGGAAAAAGTTGAACAAATATGTTCGTATTTAAAAAAGGAGTGCCTTGAGCCTGACACCGAAGGATTTAATATGCTTTTGAGAACTCTCCTGAACTTTGGCTTCAACAACACTGCAATGGACTGCTTTCGGTTGATGAAGCTATGGGAAAGTGAGCCAGATGAGTCGACATTTAGGATATTAATAAACGGGCTTGAATCAAACGGAGAATTGGATCTCTTGCTTTCTGTGAAGGATGAAGCTGAAAAATATTTTGATGGCAATTTAGAGTTTCTGGAAGAGGGGGAACAGTTGATTCTGAATGAAGTTTAGCTGGGATTTTGAATCTTAATGCATGTGAAAGAAGAAAAAGCTCTTGCTTTGCATTAGCTGTCTTCTCCTGGATGCACTATATGTTCTATGCTCAAAGGTTTTTCTTTGATGAAAGTTCCATGCTTAAATATTGGAATATAAAAGAAATCAAGATACTGCTGGAGGTCCTGGTGTTTGTAGCATAAATTGATTTTTACATAATGTGTATATCGAAATTATATCCATGTTATGAAATTATACAGTTAGTAGGGATAAACAGACTCGTTAGTTATTCAAGTCTGCTGTATGCAATCGCAAAATGCCAAGTATGCTCTCTAACTGTATTATTTCATGTATAAGCGGTGATCCGTTATTAGTTTTCTGATTTCCTTTGTATTTGCCATGCTTCTCACTTCAATTTTGCTTTCTTATGTTGTAGAACTAAAAACATCGAATGAAAGTAATCTTACTTATATAAAAGATTTTATGTAAACCTTCTATGCTACACATAAAATTGACTTGATGTCATGCAAAGAGAGGGTGGGTTGAAAAACTGGAAGTGAAGAAATATTAGCATTTTGTCTACGTTACTGGACGGGTTTATTCGAACTACATTGCAATTAAGAATATAACACTTTGCCTTCAGGTTAGAATGGTGTTTTATCACCATATGTTTTCGCATCCCCTATTGTTTGTAACATTATTGCTTTTATATGATATAAGATATATTAACCAATGTACTTCCTTAGATTTGTGATTAAATTGGGGGTTTTGCCAGGCAACCAGATTATTTTATTGGAACAAGAAACAAAAACCTCAAGCCCTTCTGTCCTTATTAAGAAGGGATAAGAGCGCAGCAGTTTGTAATATGTTACTTTTATCTTACTGACAGCAGCTGTGTCAAAGATCATACACTCAAAACTGAACAAAGGAAATTATTAAGCACACTAAAAAAACATGAAAACCGAAATAATAATGAACAAAAAAACAAAGATTCGGGTAATAGTATATAGGGGAATTATGAGGTGTTTGATTTGATTTTGTTAGAAGAAGCTGAAGTTGTTGATCCTCAGGCTTCCGCTGGCATACGCATTCAGTATCTCATTCTGTGGAGACCATAACTCTGCTCTCAGACCCACTCTCCTCACCGCCTTGATGATCTTGTTTCTATGAGCATACCCTGTGATTATAACCTTTTGAATACTTGCCTCCACCTCGACCTTCTCTATCCCTGTATCAAATAATAGGAATCATAGGATGGTTACCTTTACTGTCAAATGCATGTGTCGATAGTGTTATAAATGGTGAGTGATGTAATTCACCTTTTACTCTGGATAGGCATCGCCTTACCCTCTTCTCGTGTATCGCTACCATGTCTACTTTCAGCTCAATAGTCTGCAGGCCACAATATATCACATCACAAATTGAAAGGGAAATACATAGAATCTCATTCTTCTATCAGCAGCTCAGATCATAAAAGAAGGCCTTCTTTCATTATTCTTTGGCAGATTTAGATACGTTTCGCAAATCAGAAACCTTTAAACGGAACAACGAACGTTGGTGCTTACCTTCGTAGGGGGAAAAAAATCAAATACGCATGTTTGTTGAGTACAGAACAAATTTCGACGAAAATATTGATACGCACTAAATCTTATGGGTAACATTGTAGGCTGGAAAAAAAAGGTATGGGACTGAAATTTAAAAGCACAGCATACCTCCATGCAGAACTCTGATGAGGAGAGAGCAGTCAGTAGAGTGAGAAAACAAAGGCATGCGAGGTAAAGGAGTAAAATAGAGTGAGGGTATCGTGCATCTTCAATATATATATATAGAAGGAAGCAAAGGGAGTCTAGGAATAGTATGTTCTTTTGATTGCTTTATCCAAAGGTGGCATGCAATGTAGCACGACACAAGGAAGTGGTTGGGATTTTGAGGGGGTGAGCTCAAGGTTCAAGGCCTCATCTCTGGAGAAAACAAAGGTCATAATGATGATGGTTATGATGAGGGCGGGTGTATGTTGGACTGGTCCAAGTTGGCTTTTAATTT